TTCTCTTCCCTTCCAATGCAGAGTCCATCCCCCTGGAATTGTCGAGAGTCGGGGGCAGGATGTAGAATGTGTTACTTTATGTCTTCTTGAGAAACATCACAGTCAGAAGAAACTCCTAGAGGCAGAGATTCAGTGTTAACTGTCACAGCCAGGTTTGGAGGAGATGCCCAGAGGTTGGGTGTTTCCTGGGAGGGTCTCTCACGAAACCCTTGTATGATTCAGGGAAAAACTCACACAGTCACTGAAGGCTCCAAGCATCTCAGAATGTCCCGCACCCAGGGAAGAGATTCCCCATGTCGGTGTCTTAGTTGCTGCCCCATCAAGGTAGCAAAGGTGCTCCTTTAGGGTTTTCTGCTAAAGGCCCAGGATCCTCATTCTAACTCCTGAATCCTGGACTGTCAGGGCAAGAAGGATTTTTAGACAGCAAGTGCCCTGCCCCCCACCTACACATGGGGAGCCTGAGGCCAAGAGGTGACAGGGACCTAGACGACACTCACAAGGCCAGTGACTGATGGGATCCTTACAGAACCCAGCTGATTCAGTCCAGACTCCTCCTGCACCACCATTGGACACTGGCTCCTTGGAAGAGCCTGGCTCATAGTAGGTGCTGAATAAAAAGCTCCTTGGGTCAAACCATTGAACAGGTTCTCAGTTTTCCTAGGAATCAAACGCTCCTCGCATACAGACCCTGAGTCCCCAGGTGACAGGCAACCTCTGTCTACTTTCAGCCACATGATCCCAAGTCACTCATCCCGTATCAACACCTAGAGCTGCCCAGGGTCTCAGCAGCTGCAAAACAGCACACGGTACGCACAGAGCGTCTTTCCCTCTGCAGCCTTCTGCTCAAGGGTACCAAGTTGTCCCCAACCTTGGGCTATTAAGACAGCACTTCAGTCGATACCGCTGTCCATGCCTCACTCTCGTCAAAGAGGAAATTCCCACTGCAAGTGTCATTGCTACATCAGGGAGTATGTGTATTTTAATTCGTGTGGATATAGCAAAACTTCACTCTCAGCCATTGTA